TCTTTAGTTAAGTTTATTCCTAGGTATCTTAATTTTTTTGGTGCGATGGTAAATGGGATTGCTTTTTTGGTCTCTCTTTCTGTAAGTTCACTATTGGTGTATAGAAATGCCATAGATTTCTTGGCGTTAATTTGTATCCTGCTACATTGCTGAATTCATTTATTAAATCTAATAAATTTTTGATGGAGTCTTTAGGGTTTTCTATGTACAGTATCATGTCATCTGAGAAGAAGGACAGTTTTACTTCTTCTTTTCCAATTTGGATGCCTTTTATTTCTTCTTCTTCTCTGATCGCAATGGCTAGTACTTCCAGTACTATGTTGAACAGGAGTGGTGAGAGTGGGAATCCCTGTCTTTTTCTTGTTCTTAGAGGAAATGGTTTTAGTTTTTGCCCATTGAGTATGATGTTGGCTGTGGGTTTGTCATATATGGCTTTTATTATGTTGAGGTATGATCCTTCTATTCCCACCTTGCTGAGAGTTTTTATCAAGAAAGGGTGTTGGATTTTGTAAAATGGGTTTTCTGCATCAATTGATATAACTGTGATTTTTATCTCTCAATTTGTTTATGTGATGTATCACGTTTATTGATTTGTGGATATTGTACCATCCTTGCATCCCCGGGATAAATCCTACTTGGTCATGGTGTATGATCTTTCTGATGTACTGCTGGATCTGATTTGCTAGGATTTTGTTGAGGATTTTGGCATCTATGTTCATGAGGGATATTGGCCTATAATTCTCTTTTTTTGTGTTGTCTTTATCTGGTTTTGGTATTAGGGTAATGCTGGCATCATAGAATGAACTTGGAAGTGTTCCTTCCTCTTGAATTTTTTTGGATAGTCAGAGGAGGATAGGTTTTAGTTCTTGCTTGAATGTTTGTTATAACTCCCCTGTGAAGCCATCTCACCCCGGACTTTTGTTTGCTGGGAGCTTTTTGATGACTGCTTCAATTTCTTTCATAGTTATCGGCCTATTAGGATTTTTAGAATCTTCCTGATTGAGTTTTGGAAGGTTGTGTTTTTCTGGGAATATTTCCATTTCCTCCAGGTTGTCTAGTTTGTTGGAGTAGAATTGTTCATAGTATATTTTAACAGTCCTTTGTATTTCTTTGGGGTTTGTTGTTATTTCACCTCTTTCATTTCTGATTTTGTTTATTTATGTCATCTCTCTGTGCTTCTTGGTGATCCTGGCTAGGGGTTCATCAATCTTTTTCATCTTTTCAAAGTACCTACTCTTGGTTTCATTGATCTTTTGTATTGTTTTTTTGATCTCTATGTCATTTATTTCTGCTCTGATCTTTATTATCAGCTTCCTTCTGCTCACTCTGGGCTTTTCTTATTGTTCTTTTTCTAATTCTTTGAGTTGTAGAGTTAGATGTTTTATTACCGTTTTTTCTTTTTTGTTGTTGTTGTTGTTGTTTTTTTTGAGGTAGGCCTGTAGAGCTTTAAACTTCCCTCTCAGGACTGCTTTCATTGTGTCCCATAGATTTTGGATTGTTGTGTTTTTATTGTCATTAGTTTCCAGAATGTTTTTAATTTTTTCTTTGATCTCATTGGTAACCCAATCATTATTTAATAGCATGCTATCCAGCTTCCAAGTGTTTGAGTTTTTTGGATTATTCTTATTGTAGTTTATTTCTAATATTATGCCATTGTGGTCTGAGAAGATACTTGGTATGATTTCAATCTTCTTGAATTTGGGGACACTTTGCTTTTGACCCAATATGTGGTCTATTTTTGAAGATGTCCCATGTGCACTTGAGAAGAATGTATATTCCGTGGCTTTGGGGTGAAATGTTCTGAAGATGTCAATTAAGTCCATCTGATCTAGTGGGTCATTTAGGATTGCTGTTTCTTTGCTGATTTTTTGTCTAGAGCATTTATCCAGTGATGTCAGTAGTGTATTAAAGTCCCCTACTGTGATTGTATTGTTGTTGATCTCTCCCTTGATATCTTCCAGGAATTTTTTTAAAATATATTTTTATTGATTCAGAGAGGAAGGAAGAGTGAGATAGAAATATCCATGATGAGAGAGAATCATGGATTGGCTGCCTCCTGTAAGTCCCCCACTGGGGATCAAGCACACAACCCGGGCCTGTGCCCTTGTCTTGAATCAAACCTGGCACCTTTCAGTTCGCAGGCCAATGCTCTATCCACTGAGCAAAACCGGCTAGGGCTCCAGGAGTTTTTTTATGTATTTGGGTGCTCCTGCATTGGGTGCATTTATGTTTATCAGGGCTATATCCTCTTGTTTTATCAATCCCTTTAGTATTATGAAGTGGCCTTCCTTATCTCTTGTTATGGCCTTCACTTTGAGGTCTATTTTGTCAGATATAAGTATTGCTACCCCAGCTTTTTTTTCATTTCCATTTGCCTGAAAGATATTTTTCCAACCCTTCACTTTCAGTCTGAGTCCCTTGTTCTGAGGTAGGTCTCTTGTAGACAGCATATATATGGGTCATGTTTTCTTATTCATTCAGCCACTTGATATCTTTTGATTAGAGCATTTAGTCTGTTTACGTTTAAAGTTATTAGTGAAAGGTACTTGTTTATAGTCATTTTTATTTTTGTGCCTGTGTTCCTTCTTACCTTTTTATTTCGTCTTTTTACAGCATTTCTTGCATTGCTGGCTTGGTAGTGGTAAACTCCCTTAGCTTTTTTTTGTCTGCGAAGCTCCTGATTTCCCCTTAAATTTTGATTGATAGTCTTGCTGGATATAGTATTCTTGGATTCAGTCCTTTGCTTTGCAACACTTTGTATACCTCCTTCCATTCCCTTCTAGCTTGATGTGTTTCTGTTGAGAAATCACTTGATAATCTGATGCGGGATCCTTTGTAGATAACTCTCTGTCTCTCTCTTGCAGCCATTAAGATTCTCTCTTTGTCTTTAAGATTTGCCATTGTAATTATGATGTGTCTTGGTGTGAGTCTTTTGTGATTTAGCTTGCTTGGGACTCTCTGTACTTGTGTAACTTTTTTATTCCCCATATCCGGGAAGTTTTCTGTCATTATTTCTTCAAATAGATTTTCTAATCCTTGCTGCTCTTCTTGTCCTTCTGGCAGCCCTATTATATGTATGTTACTTCGTTTTGTGTTGTTTCAAAGCTCCCTTAGGCTCTCCTCCTGCTTTTTAATGTTTTTCTCCAGTTGCTGTTCAGATTGAGTTTGTTTTTCTACCTTATCTTCTAACTCACTAATTCGGTCCTCTGCTTCTTCTAGTAACTGTTGAAATCTTCCATGGTGTTTTTTATTGTAGCTGTATCACTTGTGATTTCTTCCTGATTCTTGCATAGGTTGTTGATTTTGTCATCCATTGGTGTAAGAATTGTATGATTATTACTCTGAATTCATTTTCTGTCATGTTGCATGCTTCAGTTCTACTAATTTCCTTTCTTGGTGACTCTTCACTTTCTTTCTTCTGGGGATTGTGTCATCTCCCCATTCAGACTATCAGCAGAGGGTTCAAACGTTGAGTTGCATGGACCTGGGCCGTGTGCAGTGGGAGCTTTGCATCACCCGAGTATCACTGAAGAGCTCTGACACCAAGATGTGTGGCACCCGTGGGTTGGTGCGAACCGGGCTCGCCCAGGGTCAGCATTACGAGCACTCAGTGTGGCCTCGTGCATGCACCTAGAATCAGGGACCCTGCCTGAACCACGCTGAAACAGAGACCTCGCTGGCATGTGCAGAAAATGAGAGTCCCTTAGCACAAGCCAGGAGTCAGAGTTCCCCTGTGCCTGCACCAAGAATCGAGTATCAGAGTCTCTGTTGCTTCGTGTGGCCTTGCGCTGAGAATCAGGGTCCCTGTGTGTGCATGCACCAAGAATTGGAGTCACTGTCTCTTAGTGTGAATGCACTGTGAGTCAGGGATCCCAGGCCTACGTGATAAGAAACAGAGTCAAGTCATGGTGCTCAGTGCTGCCTCCCGCCCAGAGAATCGGGATCCAGGTCAGCTTGGGGGGCTGGGTTGCACAGTAGCACCGTGTCGGCAGGAGGTCCACTCCTGCACTGCGGAAAACAGACTTCCGTGTGCTGCTTGCCCAGAATCGAAGTCAGGTGGCACTTCTGTCCTGTGTGGGCTTTGGGTTTGGTCGCCCAATTGCATTGCGGGGAACAGATTCCCAGTGTTCGTGCACTCCCAGGCTCAAATTCTTGTAGCAGGGCTATGGCCTGTGCAAGGGGCGGGTCTACCAGTTACTATGGCGCTGCCAGTAAGCCTGTAGGGAGGGAGATAGGCTCTGTGACGCACAGAAATCCGCGGCCGGGATGTCTGGATTCTTGGTGTCTGTGGGTCTGTAGCTGTGGTCGCAGGTCTCTGTCCCCAGTGGCTGCAGGGTCCTGGTTTGTGTCTGAGACCAGACTGGGTGGTGCTGAGGCCAGGATCCAAGTCTCAAGCAGCTCTGTTTCTCAAGATGGCCTGGTCTCTGTGCCTGAGCTGGCTGCCTGGAGTGTCCACGCTGGGAGCGGGGCTCTGTCATCTAAGACTGCCCGGTTTGGCAGCCCCTTGGAAGACCTGCAGAATCTAACTGTCCCTACTCATACACACACACACCACACAGGTCCACACACTCCTCTATCGCTCCCTCGCGCTCTCACTCTCTCTCCCTCCCTACCTTCCTGCCAGTCGCCATCTTCCTTCCCCTTCCTAAAATTTTTTTTATGTCTTCTATTTTTTTGCTGAGACTTTCTGTCTTTCCACTTGTTTCAAAAGAATTTGTTGTTCTTGGAGCTGCTTTAAAACCCTTTTCAGATATCTTCTGTGTCATCTTGGCATTGGTATCTACTGATTATCTTTTCCTGTCTGAGTTGAGATTTTTCTCTTCTTTTATATACCTTGTAATTTTGGATTATAAACTGGACCTTTTGAATATCATGGTTTAATACCCTGGATCTTGTGTAAATCCTATGATGAATGTTTGTATTTTTCTTGTAGCAGGCAATTAATGCAGTTGGGCTCAGACTAAAAATTCTGACCAGCCTTCTGTGGACTTTGGTTTCAGTGTTCTGTTCTCACACTTGGAAGTACTGTTTGGATATGCCCTGTATATGTGCCACCCAGTGCTCAAGTGGTCTGCCCCGTAGTTCTGATCGTAACATCTTTGCTATGCTGTTTAGGATTACATTTACACATGTGCAGCTTTGAGGTGAGCCGAGGAATTTATACCCAACTTTCTGGAATAGCTTTCTTAAGCTCCTTTCTCTCTGAGATCTTCCTAGGAAGCTGGAGCTTCCATTACACTATTCTGCCAGGCATTTCCCATATCTGGGGGTAGGCATCAGGAGCATAGAGAGAGAAAAAAGCCATGGGGGCTCACATTACCCTTTTGGACCCACAGCTCCTTTGATTGGAGAGAAAGCTTTATCCCCTCAGTACTTTAGGTGTTTGTGGTTGCTGAGGCAGCCACCGGGTTAGCCTGGGTACAAAAGTGTGGAGGCAAGGGGTTGGGGAAAGAAAAGAAATATGGGGGCTTTCCCCCATTCCCTCTGAGTGTTAGCCAAAAGAAAAGTGCTTCTCTTAGGGTATTTACTGCATCCTGATTCTCACTTCTGGTTTTCAGGCTGCCTTGAGTCCAGGCCAGGGAATACTAGAAGAAAAATAGGAAACTTACCACCAGTCCAGTGGTACTTGAAGTCCTATCTTCTAGCCCTCTCCACCTGCCCCAGTATACTTTCTTGAGTCCCCATATAGCTTCTCCATACATTCTGCCCAGCTTTTTTATCTGCATTCAGTGAGTGGGAGATGGTATGCTATCTGTTAATTTTTGTTTTTTAAGTGTCTGCCTCTTTTTTTATTGCAATAACATGGCTTTATTGTAGAAATCTTAGAAAATAAAGATAAACTTGGAAAATAAAGATAACATCTTCTGTAAACTCATAAACTGAAGAAAACTGTTATTTTGGTGTATCATCCTTTCTTATTTCATATACTAGTAAATATTTTTTTTCCACTTTAAAAATAAATTAGATAATCAATAAAAATATTAGTGATTTTAACAAGTAATCTTAAGACCCAGATGCTACTGACTTGATCTTATGTTGTTTATACTAAATCTTGTATTTTCCATAGGTAGTAAGTCTTTGTCCTCAAATTGGCTGGGTTGAAATTGATCCTGATGTTCTCTGGCTTCAATTTGTTGCTGTAATAAAGGAATCTGTCAAAGGTAATTGGATTTATGAAAATAAAAATAATAAAGTATATTTTGTTTGTAATAAGAATTTTCCTCGAGAGTCTGTAGAATTTTGTGGGCTTCCTAGGTTATACACATATAGCATTTTATTGGGGTCACAATGTCAATCCGTTTTGACCAAAAATGTCAAGGCAAACAAAAGTGTTACTTCTGGGGTTGGAAACATACATTTGGTTAGAAACCCCAACTATGTTCTGAACATGAAAGAAAGGGAAAGAGTTTGTGAAGACAGAACAAGGTGGCTTCCAAAGAGTTACATGAGCTGCTTTGAAAGAACTATGACTGGTGCTGGCAAGCAGACTTACACTATGCTGTACATGACTAATTGTGTATGTCTATTGCTAGGTGAAAAGTTTATTTTTTAACAGCGAGTTCAGTGATGTAGCCGTTTGGGTTAGCCCAGTTCAAAAGTTCAATTTCACGTGGTGAGCTAGCTTAGCTTCCTGGAAGCCTTCTGGCTCCATTTTAGATTGCTCTCTTGACAATTTCAACTCCATTTTTCTGTTTTTCTTTCATAGCAGTTTCCCAGTATTTTTTAGGGGACATTGCAGTTCATAGTGAACTGCTTTCTCAAGGAATGGAAACAGCAACTCTGCCCTCTGGTTTGAGTTTTCTCAGCCATAGTTTAAAGGCTCACATTCTGTCTTTATTCCAGGTTGCAGCTGGTGCCTATTTGTTTTCCTATTGTGTACAAAATGCCAGAGGGTTATAAACAAAATTATAACACACAGTTCCTGCTGTCAGGAGTTACACTGAGTAACCTTTATTATAAAATACTAGAGGCCCGGTGCATGAAATTTGTACATAAGAGTGGGGGGTCCCCTCAGCCCAGCCTGCACTCTCTCCAATCTGGGACATCCCTCTCACAATCCGGGACCGCTAGCTCTTAACTGCTCACCTGCTTGCCTGCCTACCTGATCGCCCCTAACTGCTCCCCCCGCCAGCCTGATCACCTCTAACCGCCTCTGCCAGCCTGATCACCCATAATTGCCTCTGCCCACTGGCCTGATTGCCCCTTACTGCCCTCCTGCTGGCCTGGCTGCCCCCAACTGCCCCTCCCCCGTACCAGCCTGGTTGCCTCTTAGTGCCCCCCCCCCCCCCCCCCCCGCCAGCCTGGTTGCCCCCAACTGTCCCCCTCTGCCAGCCTGGCTGTCCCATGCAGCCTGCTGTTCAGTTGTTTGGTCATCCCTCACTAATCCCCCTGCCGGCCTGGTCACCCCATGCAGCCTGCTATATTTTAAGAAATTTGGACCAAAAAACCCCACTATGTTTTTGTTTATATCCTAGCATCTGTTCATGTGGAAAATAAGATTTGAGTTTCACTAGGGATTTTCCTTTATTGCCATCTACCAACTTCTATTATGATTGATCATTGCTTAAATTGAGATCCAATATTTTAGTATTATCAAGAAGAAAATATAATCTGACTTTTAATAGTGTTTGTTTTTTTCGAACATTTAAAGATGAAGGTCATTTTGTTATTATTGGAATATGGCCATTTTCCCTTAAAAGAATCATCTTAGTAATGCTCTCTTTATTAATGCCAAATGTGTTATTAGAATGCCAGGTAGGGCCCTGGCCAGGTGGCTCAGTTGGTTGGAGTGTTGTCCCGTACACTGAAAGGTTCAGGGTTCAATTCCTGGATAGGGCACATACCTTGGTTGCAGGTTCAATCCCTAGTCGGGGTGCATACGGGAGGCAGCCAATCAATGTTTCTCTCACAGATTGATGTTTCTCTCCCTTCCTCTCTCTCTAAAAAAATTTTTTTTTTTAAATTTAAATGCCAGGTAGGTACTGGAAATATCAGAGGAACACTTTGTAAAGTATATGATTGCCTAACTACTATGCTGTACACCTGTAACCAGTACAAAATAATATTGAAACAATAAAAAAAGAAAAACAATGCTAAACCTATATGTTTTTCTTAAAGATTATACTCAATAATTTATTTTCCACACTACAATTTATTAAGAAAAATTTCATTGACTTTTAAACATGTGATTTATCCATCTTTATTTTCAGCTGCAGGAATAGAGATGAATCAAATTGTTGGACTTGGCATTTCAACACAGAGAGCAACTTTTATTACGTGGAACAAGTAAGTGTGATAAGCCTTCTGTTGCTGGGTTCATATCACAGTGAATACCTGTTTTGGGAGTTTCAAGTTTGTGAATTAAGAACAGTTTTGTTTTGTTAAGAGGGATGAAAGTAAGCCTACTCTCTGCCTTATTAAAATATATTCCTGCATGTCACCTGGGCTTGACTTATATAAAAGAATAACAATAAAAAGACTGTTGCTGTTATTAAAATTATCCATTTCTTTACTTTGGTGTGAGTTAGTTTTTCAAATAAGCCTTGATTGAAGACCTTAAAAATTAGTTTATACCCAAAAAGATTCAGGGGAACCTGACAGACTTCAGAAACACATGACTATGACTGTGGTTTATATTTTCATTGTACTTCAAATTTCATATTTAAGTACATACAGCCCAAGAAGTATATATAGATTAAACACGGTTATAATATCCTAATAGCTACCATATAGTGAATACCTGTGATAGTATTCAGGTTCCATTATCCTTGCAAAGAAACCTGTTATTTTGGTAATTTTATAGAGAAAGAAATTGAGGCTTAGAGAAATAAGTAACTTGTTCAAGCTCACTTAGTAAGTAGAAACAAGATTCCAAATTGTCTTTTTACCCCAAAACACATGCTCTTTCCACTACTCCTATTTGCCTTCAACATGTGTTTCTTATTTGAAAATAATAACAGAAACACTGTAAGTGCTTCTTTGTTACAAAGCACTAGGCTGCAAAGGGCATCTTGAGCTTGGGGCAGTGAAGGAGATTGCTGGTGGGTATGGGGCATGGGGGAGGTCTAAGAAATATAATGAGGGTGAATTCTTAAGGACTTGGCCTTGAAGTCAATATTAGGCAAGAGGAAGAAGTTCAAATTTAACAGGATTTCTGGCTTGATGTTTGGAAGGATATGATAGAGCTTGTAGAGAATATAAGACAAAGAATGAGTTGGTGATGAAGGTGGGTAGAAGGGAACATGATACAGTGTTTGGCTTGGGAACATGTGCATGTAGAGATATCCCAGAGGTGGTTAGAACATTGCCCTGGTTTAGACTGATGCATGTCTCATCTCCTCCAGATAGGTGCTCTTTCACAGCATAATGCTTCTCAGGTTGATCCCTATATCTGTAGTCCCCCTGAAATTTTCCCCCCGCTCCCCAACTCCCTACCCAGGGTGACTTGGGCATATCAAGTCTTAAATAGGTAATCTATTTTTCAGATGAGTAATAATGAATTAAAGTCATCAGTGTACTGTGTAGATCAGAATTTCTACTAGTAAATAGTGGCACTGTTGACATTTTAGGCCTGATCATTCCTTGTTGTAGGACTGTCCTGTGCATTGAAGGATGTTTAGCAGCATCCCTGCCTCTATTTACGAGATACCAATAGTCTCCTCCCGCTGTTTCTACAACCAAAAATGTCTCCAGATACTGCCAAATGTCCCCTGGGTGGGGGACAGATCATTCCTACTTGAGAATTGTTGACGTAGGTGAAGTCTAGAGAAGTAGGTGAGTTCTCTGGTGGGATTATACATAATGGATAGAAGAGAAGAAGACTGGATTTGGACAATGAGTCACTTTGGGAAGTGGATGATATGGAAATAGAGGCAGGATAGTGTTCGTAGGGAAAAAAACTGTTTGGAAGTATAATGAGTGGTTGGATTTGAAAATTAGGTCATTAGCCACAGAGATTGCTTTTCTCAGAACCTGATTATTGGGTCATTCATGACATGAAGCTTAAAGTATTAGGAAGCCAAGTTTTCCTGTGGCAGTAGGATCATCTCAGTTTTGGGAGAAATTGAAGAGCCAGATTCCAAGATAGTTCACTTTTCTTACTGGTGTGGCTGTTGTAGAAGGGTAAGATTTCTTCCTAAAACAATTAATTGTGAGTTTCTTCTTGGCTGTCCTGCTTTGAGATGTTTGTAGTCTTTCAAGAGTTTTGGAAACTTTGCTTGTATGAACTGAAATACTGAATATTAAAAAAAACAAAAACAAACAAAAATGGGCACAGAAGGCCTTGTGCTTCTTTTATCTTGAAACTGGATGCCTGATGCATGAAATTCGTGCAAAGGGCTCAGCCCTTGCAACCCTTGCCTTGGCTCTCGCAGCTGTGGCTTTGTTCGGAAGGTCGTCTGGAAGGACGTCTGGCTGTCTGGTCTAATTAGCATATTAAGTTTTTATTATTATAGATAATGGAACCTTTTCTGCTCCCTGGGCCCTGGGGAGCCATTGTGCCTGTAATGCTGGCAGGTTCTACAGGCTCCCTGACATGACACTTCTGCTCATTTTTTGAGAGAAAAAGAGGCAGACTGAATCTAATATATTGTTCATCCCAGTCCCAGCCAGCACCTTTTCTTCCAAACTCACTGTCTTCTCCTGTGTCCACAGTGTGTTCTGTGTCTGTGGCCACAGAAACAGTATTTTCCTTATAGATGCTGTCAAGAAGTCTAAACTTTGAGCTTTCTTTTTGTTTTTCTCTTTGTGCCCTTTCCATCCTACCACCTTCTGATGCCAGGAAACTTGTTATTTATTCACTTTTCTTCAGTTCTTGAGTTTTTTGTTTTTGTGTGTTTTTTTTCAAATTCTTTAGGTTAAATTTTTTTCAATACATTTAATCATGTCCTCTTTCCACTACCCCCACTTACCTGTATTCTAAAATTACTCTAAATAATATCTCCTCCATTTTGGTTGCTTTAAATTTCTTGTGTTCTAAAAAAATTCTTAAGCTGTTTTGTTTCTTCAGTCCTCTGCCTCTCAGGGAGGCTTCTGCCAACTAACCTCAGATCAGTGTGTATACCAATTAGTAACATAAGCTGAGAGTCCCAGGAGTCAGGGTTCACTCAGCACCAGGCACTGAGAGGGAGGATGGCACTGTGCTGGTTGTTGAACTGAATGTAAAGATGAATAAGAATGCCAGCCCTCAAGGCAGTTATAGTTTCATAATACAAGCCCATAAATTTTGTAGGACTTATGTTAATGGCTCTTACTAATTACTTATGACACACAATACATTAAGAGCCACAGGATGCTATAATGTGTTAAGAGGTTTAAGGCAATTCATTTATAATATTGCCATTCATGTTTCTCCTTGATTTCTCCATTTACTATTGGCAGAGATAAAATAAACCTAAATTACTACTCAATGAATATCAGAATATATGCTACTACTTGAGCTCAGGATTCCACATAGTCTTCTACTGTGTTATGAATTAATATGCTACTTTCATCTTGTATCTTCTCCCTGCTTCACTAGCTGTAAACATATGATGCTTCATGCTGCCTTGGAAACTTGGAACATATAATGCATTTTGTTGGGAGTGTTCACCCTCCTTGTTTTTTCTGACTCATCCTTCAGAGTGCAGTACCATTTTCACTTCTCAAAGAAGCTTTTCCTGACCCCTGAGTAGGCAGGATCTATCTTCCTGTTAAATATACACATGGCACCAGTGTTTCTCCTTTAAAGGACTTATTCCTGTTTTAAGTAGGCCATTGTATAATTATTTGTTTGACTTCCCTGGTAGAAAATATATTCACAGGGGCAAAGATGAGATGTCTCTCTGTTCACAATAAATTTTTGCTGAATCAGTGATTAATAATAAGATTCAAGTGTATAAATAGCTGCTATTGTAGAATGGATCCAAAGAATCATATATCAATAGATTTAATATCTATCAAACACAATCTGATAGTTATTATTGGTAGAGAACATTTTTTCATTTATCAAATACCTCTTTGGTATCTGGATCAAGTGGTGAGAATCTGAAAGTGAAAAGACTGTGCCCTCAGGAGGTTCACAGTCTAGTGGTAGATACAGATGTGTACATTACATAGATAGTTGAGGTACAGGCTGATAGATGTCTGCTCTGTAGACTGCATTATACCTGGCAATGAAAGAGCTGGAGGGGAGACTGAACAGTGGAGAAGAGGGAGTTAGGGAAGGTGTCCCAGAGGCACTTAAGCCAAGTGTTTTTTGTTTTTGTTTCTTTGTTAAGCCTCACCTGAGGGTATTTTTTTCCATTGATTTTTTTTCTTTATTTTTTTTTAGAGAGAGAGTAGAAAGGAGGAAGGGAGGGAGAGAGAGAGAGAGAGAGAGAGAGAGAGAGAGAGAGAGAGAGAGAGAGAGAGAGACATTGATGTGAGAGAGACACATAGATTGGTTGCCTCCTGCACATGCCAGAGATTAAACCTGTCCTTGACTGTAAATAGATCCTGTGACCCTTCAGTCCATGGGCTGATGCCAGGGCTGGAACCAAGTCTTGAAGGAAAAATAGGAGTGTCCTAGGTGGGAAGAGCAAATTATTGGCAAGGGTATGAGGAATAAGAGACTGGTATGTCTGAAGCATCAAAAGTACTTTGGAAATTAGGGTTGAAATAGGGATGGTGCCACACCCCAGCATTGGCCTCCTTTCCTACTCTGACTCCACTTCAGACCACCCTCCTCTTGTCCTAGGCTCCAGCCACATGGGCTTGCTCTCTGTTTCTGGACCACTCTACCCTGGCTGCTACATTTGGGAGGAGTGGCTTTGCACCTGTTGTTCCCTCTGCCTGGATCTCTCTTACCTGAGACTTAGTCTTTCTCATCATTCAGACCCTACCTCCAAGATCACTTCTTCTAAGAGACCTTCCATGACCATTTTACATCACTTTGTTATTTTATTGTTTTCATATCACGTACTATGTAAAATTTTTGTTTGCTTCTTTGCATATATATTTATTACATCTCTCTGACAAGTAAGAAGTTCCATGAGTATTGGGAATTTTGTCTGCCCTGTTCTCACTGGGTACTTCACACCTAGGACAGTACCTGGCACATAGTAGGCACTCAAATCTGTGAGTGATTGAGGTGAAACTGGAGGTTTCCAGGTTGTAGTAAGAAGTTTTCCTCTTATAAGCAGTGGGAAATTATAAAAAGATGCTAAGCAGGCGAGTGATATGACCAAATTGACATTTTAGAAAAAATATTCTTGAAGCACGGTGGACAGTGGATTTGTGGAGAATGAGACTACAACAGGGAAATCTCG